AGGGTACCCAAGTGTTTTAGAGGGAGAGGTTATGGACAAAATGGGCTAGACCCATTGGACCCAAAAAATCACCACACGCGCACGCCGCCGGTCGGTCAGGCGGGGCTGGACGCGGGCGCGTGGTGTGTGGTGTGTGGTTGGGCTTCTAATCTTTTTGGGCCAAAAACATTTGAATTTAATTTTATTTTTTATTAAAATAAAATCCAGAATTCAAATTAAATTGGTTTGGATTTTTTGTTCATCCAAACAGGGCCCTTCCCGTTTTCAAACAGAATTGAAAGGGTTTATAAGGCTTAGGGTGAGTTACTTGGGGTGTGCCCCAAGGGGTACCCAAGTGTTTTAGAGGGAGAGGTTATGGACAAAATGGGCTAGACCCATTGGACCCAAAAAATCACCACACGCGCACGCCGCCGGTCGGTCAGGCGGGGCTGGACGCGGGCGCGTGGTGTGTGGTGTGTGGTTGGGCTTCTAATCTTTTTGGGCCAAAAACATTTGAATTTAATTTTATTTTTTATTAAAATAAAATCCAGAATTCAAATTAAATTGGTTTGGATTTTTTGTTCATCCAAACAGGGCCCTTCCCGTTTTCAAACAGAAATAAACTGTTTTGGAATTAATGCACACCCAAACAGGGCCCTTCCCGGTTTCAAACAGAAATAAACTGTTTTGGAATTAATGCACACCCAAACAGGGCCCTTCCCGGTTTCAAACAGAAATAAACTGTTTTGGAATTAATGCACACCCAAACAGGGCCCTTCCCGGTTTCAAACAGAAATAAACTGTTTTGGAATTAATGCACACCCAAACAGGGCCCTTCCCGGTTTCAAACAGAAATAAACTGTTTTGGAATTAATCGAGCCCGACCCGGCCTGTTGACAATGTGAATATTCACATTGATAAGAGTGTAAAATTGACTTGCGTCCCATAGGCGGCCCAAGGCGAGCCTGGTCCAGCCCGTTGACAATGTGAATATTAAAGAGTGTAAACACTTAGTGTGTTCGTAAGGCAAACAGTTAGTAGTGCTGCTATTGTTTGTGGTAGATCATTTCATCCTGGGAGATAGACGTCCGAATTCTGAAAGCACCGTGGAGAGGACGAATCTGTCTTAAGGACACAGTGTTAAACACTGGACTTGATCAGAAAAGTTATTCAAATAAATTAACCAAGTAAGTAGTTTAATTTAATTTTGTTTTTATTTGTTTATTTAATCAGATTTTAATTTTGTTTTTTGTAACAAAATAAAATCTGTGGTTTTATTTATTTATTTTTATTTTGAGTTTGATTTTTGTAATCAAACAAATTCTCTCATTTTCTCTATTTCTTTTATTCTTGTTGTTGTTTTGTACACAACAGAATTTAATCTTTTTAAATACAGTGAAGATTGTCCTACAATCTTAAGACAGATTCCTTTTTGGGTATCTTCATTGTATTTAATTTTCTGTGTTTTCAAATTAATATTCTGGTTGGAAAAACAAATAGTGATTTATGCTATTTGACAGATAGTAGTAATATACTGTCTCTTTTCTTTGACAACTAACAAAATAAAATCTGTGGTTTATTTTTATTTTGAGTTTGATTTTTGTAATCAAACAAATTCTCTCCTTTTCTCTATTTCTTTTATTCTTGTTGTTGTTTTGTACACAACAGAATTTAGTCTTTTTAAATACAGTGAAGATTGTCCTACAGTGTTATGTTTCAATGTGTATATGTTATGTGTTTGTGTAGGTCACGCGCTACTGTCTGTCTGATCTGTCTCTAGAGTTATCTGTGAATAATAACTTTGTAAAGTTATGTTTGACTATAAGTATTATCTGACTGATATGATATGATCTGTTTTTTGAAATGCTATTTTGTGAATCATGAATGAATGTCTAATTTTCTGAAATGTATTCGTGGCATCCTTAGTATCATGTGTATATGTTATCTGTTATTTGTTATCTATTACCTGGTACCAGGGTTTCACGTGGGTTCCATTCATGGAACTGATTATGCATAATCAATTATCTTATCTACACATGTGTCTTAATGACCATCTCATGTGAATATGGGTCTTTATGACCACTTACTCTGCACGTGGGTCTTTATGACCAATCTGTTTTGTTAGAGTTAATGAATATACCAAGTATGATTGTTTACAAATCTGAATAAGTATATGAATCTGTTTCTGATCTGAATTCTGATTTTTGAATCTGTTATAGACATCATTTATCAAAACCTTTACTCTATTGTTATTTATTAGGCTCTAACTCACTGTATTATTTATGTATATAGGTGATCAGACGTGTGACTAGGCTTAGAGTTTCTGCCTAGACTTTGTCTTGTTAGCTAATCTATGTGCCTCCCGTGGAGGTTCTGGATATATTAAGTGGTCATGGTTATGTGATTAAAGTTCAAGTTTTTGTTTATTATGTAATTAGGGCTAAGTTCCTTTTTATTTTATCCGTATAAATATGATGATGTAAGGGTGATGTATGATACATGTACATAAAGTTTAAAATTTTTCTATCTCATATATGTCTGCACAGCTTAATGAACAATGTATGTCTAATATTTGCTTATGCCAGCCCTTAATTTTGTGAATCTGTTTAAAAGGCCTTCGGTAATCCTAGAATTACTGGCCGGTCATGACGCCAAACTTATAGGGGCGAGTGTTGGTCGTGACAGTAATGGAGGATTGGGAAAGGAAAGAGATGCGAGAAACAAACAGTAGAGAAAATGAAGAAGAATGGTATATTGGTAAATTTGAAAGGATGTAAGGGGCATTTTAGTCATTTAAATAGGAGGGAAAATTGTCCATACCCCTTCGCCCATTAGGCACGTGTCATTAGAGATGACAATTTGAACCCGGCCCGACAGGGACCCTATCCCCCCGACCCCGAATTGAGCGATTTTTTTCCTGAAAAATACCCCCGACGGGCCAGGGATGGTATTTAAAAATAAATCTCCTATGATATTCGGGTCGGGGACGGCGGGGACAGGGATACATTTTCCAACCCCAGCCCCGGCCCCGGCCCCCCTATTCTGTTTATATATGTATAAATATATATGTGTGTGTGTGTGGTGTGTGTGTAGGGTTTGGTTGAGTTGGCAACAAACATAACACAAACACATTTGGCCTCCATCTCTCTTTCTTTCTCTCACTCTCTCACACACAACCGCAGCTCCCTCACCGCTGGTTCCTTCTGTCGTTCTCACCGCCGGCTCCCTCACCACCGGCTTCTTCTCTCATTCTCACCGTTGACTATTCATCTCCCTCTCATGGTATCTCCGTCTCTCTCTCACGGATCTCTTTCTCTCTCTCTCTCTCTTGTTTTTTGCTTTTGTTCTTCAGATCTGGAAAATAGTGGACATGAAGATGAAGATGTTGATGAAGATCTGTTGGTGATGAAAATGATGAAAATGTTTTTTGATCGGTTAGATCTGTTAAAGCTTAGATGTTGTTTGATTTGTTAGATGTTTTTTGAGCTCAGATCTGTTAGATTTGTTAGATCTATTGATGTTGTTGTTGTTGTTGATGAATTCATTTTCTGGAGCTTATTTTTTTTTTTTGGTAGCGAATTTTTGGACTCGGGGAAACTGATCCCTGTTAGGGGGCGGGGATGGAGGCGGTAATGGGTTCCTTGTTGGGGATCAGGGACGGGGAGGGTGATCCCCGGCCCCGCCTCGCCCCGTTGCCATTCCTACGTGTCATACACGGGTTGTTATGTTAGATGAAATTATTAACTGTGTACTTCAATCCAGTCATCACCGGAAGATTATGTGATGATTTTCAAATATCAAGAAGATTACACGACCCAAACTAGAGGAAGGTAAAGTAAGGTTTGTCCTAAAATAAATGACAGATCGCTATAGTGAAACCGTGGTAATGCATGGTCAAATCCACTTTAGTAGACTAGAGACAATCCTAACTCAATTAATATATAATTTTGATACTATTCTATTGGATGTTCCTAGAAAAGGTTTTTGAACTTTTTATATTTTAGTCATTTTTTTTTTTTTTGAAATTTTAAATGCACCCAACATAAACACACACACACACAAAAAAAAAGAAAAGAAAATGTACTTACTACAAAAAATTAAGGTTTTAGATACCAAAATTTAGGGGCAAAAATTAATTTTTAGAGACCAATTATTTTTGTTGCGAAAAGTGTCATTATATTTTTAACAATGAAAATTAGACATTAGTGATGAATTATTATCCTTTTGGGACCAAATTTTTTGTATTAAAAAATAAACTATTTTGAAACTAAATTATTTTTTCTCCAAAAATCTATTTGTTAGTGACATTTTCAAAATTTTGTCTCTAAAAGCCTTATTTTTGTCTTTTCGAGAAGACCTTTTAAAGACTATCTTCATGATGATAGAAATTGATCCTTAAGTGTCTTTTGCAACAAAATTTTCAGTGACATTTGATCTCTAAAACTTTTATAGGTTGTAGTAACTGATTTTTTTTTGTAATTTTTTTTATATTTAGTAAATTTTGTAAAAAAAAAAAATCACAATTTTTATACTTTTTAAGTGTATATATATTAAGTGGATCTAAACAATTAAAAAAAATTAATTAAAAAATTAAAAACATTTACTAAACATAAAAAATAATTAAGAAGTCAAAAATTAATTTTTAAAAACACCCAAACCAAACGGAATATGAAAATGCACTTTTGGCGACTAAAAATAATATCACGGTGTTGTTTTTTTTTTTTGGGGGGGCATTCTTAGTCACCAATTTAATAGTAAATTAGAAGTTCATTTATGTAGGAATAAATTTAATCACACAATTAAATTATAGAAAAATAATATGCACACGTCACCATGATAGAACCCAACTCACTATTTTTTTTTTTGAATAATATATAGGAAGCATTGAAGATTTTTTAAATACTTAGTCACCAATTTAATAGTAAATTAGAAGTTCTTTTATGTAGGAATAAATTTAATCACACAATTAAATTATAGAAAAATAATATGCACACGTCACCATGATAGAACCCAACTCACTATAAGAAAAACTGAATAATATATAACTTCTGCAAGAGACTTTATTCTTTCTCAAAGGAGGATAATACAGTGAGTCATGAGAAAATGATATTTGAACAATTGGATCTTAGGCCATTAGCCCCATCCTACATCACATCCCTCATTTTCATAACTAAAGCTAGTAAGATGTGATGATCAAATTTTTATTTCAATTTTACTTACCATCACGTATCATCACTATATTGGTGCACTGAGATTTCTTTGTCTTCTTGAAATGTACCCAAGTTTTGGATGCAACAATACTATGTTAACTATTGCCAAGTGACTGCAATGGGACTTCCAACGGTATATTTTCCAGACACCCAAACAAGAGATCCAAATGATGAAGTGGTTGAACCTGTTGACCCCCCTAATCCAACAAAACGCACTTTGTAACTCAATTTCTGACCAACCTTCTTAAAATTCAGAACTCTAGGCTCAATCATTACTGATACTCCAATGGGTTCATTCACTTGCACTGAGTAAGTACTCATTGGCTTCCCAACATTTGTCACAGTTCGTTTGAATGTCACTGTGATGTTTTGCTCATTGGCATTGAAAAGCACAGCAAAAGAAGGGTAGTTCAAGTCACCAGGCTGAAGATCTACATTGGTAGGGCAAACAAAGTCCCCTCTTGACAGAAGAGCTATTTGAGAGGAGGTGTAGTTCAGACTACACAAATAATTTAGGTAGTCTGCAGTGGTGATATCGTATATCAACCCTGGATTGGCTGCCCTCTCAGGATCGACATGGCCTGAGCCATATACAAAAGGGGTAGCTAATTTTGAGCCACCCGAACTAGCATCACTTATTGGGGCCTTATTGTCGTCAAGGGTGTAGGCAGTTGTCATCAATGCTGACTTGATAGCAGCCGGTGACCAATCTTTGTGGACAGACTTAAGCAAGGCAGCTAAGCCACTAACATGAGGGCAAGACATTGAAGTGCCCGAGATTATGTTAAACTCAACGCTTCTTTTATCACCGCTAAGCCGGGTTGGACTGACATTGGGTGGCCATGCAGCTAGTATGTTCACCCCCGGTGCAGTGACATCAGGTTTGATCACGTCTGGTCCTACTGAACTTGGCCCCCTTGAAGAGAATGCTGCCATCAATGGTGCAGGATCGCCACCATAAATAGTTCCTTCAAATAGAATTGAAGCCATTGGATTCTTTGTTGTGCTGACATAGTTTTTGATTGCAATAGCAGCTGAAACCCCTAAAGAAGTGGCTGGTAAAATGTGTGGATCAGCGAAAAGCTCTTCACCTTCATTGTCAGTGTTGATTAGCAGCATTCCAGCCCCTCCTGCCATCTTTACTTGCTCTCCCTTGCCAACCCGACTATTGATTCCACGCTCGCAAACAACAATCTTCCCTTTCACAAGCTCTAATGAGAGTGAACCATCGGTACAATAGTCAGCACCTTGCCCACCAGCTGTTTCACCATACACAAGTGGCAATTGCTTGACAGGCTTGCCAAAGTACAATGAAGCCCCTTTGAAACTCTCTCCATTGCCAAGCTTGACTATGGTTGGGAAACTCCTGTCAAGATAGCTTGCTGCGACTGTCATGATCCATGGTGCAATGTTGCTGACAGATGAACTGGAAGGGCCTGAATTGCCTGCTGAGCAGGAGACAAAAACTCCATTTTGGATTGCACCAAATGAAGCTATTGCCATGTTATCGCTATGATAAGGCCTTGACACACCTCCTAAAGAGAGTGACAAGACATCGACTCCATCGAAGACTGCCTGGTCTATGGCAGCCAATATGTCAGAGTTGGAACAACCCAACGTCCAACAAGCTTTATATGCTGCAATTCTTGCTGTGTACCTCATGCCACCAGCTGAGCCTTTCGCCAAGCCTAAAAAGCTTGCTTCGGGTATGAGATTGCCTGCTGCAGTTGAAGCAGTGTGTGTTCCATGACCTTCCGAATCACGAGCTGATCGGTACTCCACTGTTTCATTGATTCTCCCATAAACGGCCTCATACCCTTTGAAAAGTGCTCTTGCACCAATTAGCTTCCTATTACAATTGGAAGGCGTAAACTTTGTCCCTCCCTCGCACACACCTTTCCATCGTGAAGGCACTTGAGACATGCCAGAGTCACGGAAACTAACGTGTTCAGGCCATATTCCAGTATCTATGACGCCAATTATTACGTCTGAAGCCAAGTTTGGAGCATTCCAGAGTCCTCTGCCGCTTTTTAGGCCGAGAAATTGAGGTGAGCGTGTAGTGTGGAGGGTAAGCATTTCATCGGGCATGGCAGAGAGGAAACCATCAATTTTTTTCAATGATTCAAGCTGGTCAATGGAGAGTTTCGCAGCAAAACCAGATATTGCAGTTTGGTAGACATAGAGGAGTTGAGGAGATGATGTTTCTTGTTGTTCTTCTTCTTGAGTAGAGAATTTGGTGATGGAGTCCATGATTGATTCATACCATGTTTTGGAACTGCCAAGGGAAGTGTCTAAGGCAGTGACTTTGGTCTTGTCCATGTGAACTACATATGTTTGTTTTTGTATTGAAGCAAATGAAGTTGTGGCCATGAAAGCCAACAACAATAAGGATGTCTTGTAGATCATTGTGGCTGCAAAAGACATTCAAAAATTTAGAAACAATGAATAAGGATAAAATGCAAACATGTCCAATGATTATTTATTTATTTTGGAGAAGTTATGCATTAAAATTGATGTTCTAAGGATACATGAAGAAATTCTTATTTTGGAGAAGTTATGCATTAAAATTGATGTTCTAAGGATACATGAAGAAATTCTATAATAATACATAGAAGTCATTGTAAAACTTGGAGCAAAAAATTGGTAAAAAAGTACAAATTTATAGACTTAAGTAGGGATGGGTGCGGGTCGGTTGCAGCCACGAAACTTCCAATCCGTCATCCGTCTGCCATATTGGCGGATTGTAGAAAATCAATCCGCATTCGTTCGCCAATCCGACAGATGTGGATTGAGCAGATTAGCGGATTGACGGATGGATACAAATCAGTTTGGCGGTTTAAAATTTTATAAATTTTCAACATAATTCAACTTATACACTTTCTCAAAAAAAAAAAAAAAAAAAATTATAGTCAATGACTTAAAAAAGTATTACTTTATTCAAAGAGACAAAGTTTGAAACTTTAGAATATTACAATCACTGCATGACTCATCTACATATTACAGTCACAACATGCCTCATCCACATAAAGTATTACAATCTGTGGTTCTTAAAATAGAAAAACAATTCAAACCACCAAAACCATGAATAGAGCAGTAGTAAAGGTTGTATGCCTCTCTATTGTTACATCTATATCTGTTTTTGAAAACAAAAACCAACCAGCATATATCATCTTTTTTATTTATTATTTTTAGAGTTAAATTTAAAAACCAAAAAATATATTCAAGTTAAAAACTCTTTTTCAACAGAATATATTCAACATGATATTTAAACTCTTTTTCAATTGAAAACACAAATAAAATATCTAAACATATTAAAAGCACAAAGTTTTACAAATTACTAGGGGTATTCGCGGTTTGACAGTTCGGTTGCGGCCAACAGAACCTTAAATTCGCCATCCGTCCAAAATTAGTTGGATTGAAAAAAATCAATTCGCAACCGTCCGTTCGGCATCACGCATCTGTCCAAAATGCGGTGGATCGGTTCGGTTTGGTCGGTTTGGACGAATCGATATATCCGTTGGTCACCCCTAACTTCAAGAATATCATAATATTTTATCACAACTATTTTTCTCATCTTTAATTTCCTCCTCAACTCTAACCATAAAAATTTTGAAAAATATGAAATAACTCTTATTTTTTCACTGAAATTTTCATTGAGTGGCCTCGTTTGGCAAGTGGTGATTTTAGTTAAAAAGTCAAAAAGTCACCAAAAAAATCAAAAAACCAACAACTTATACTAAAAAGTCAAATATTCTATTTTTTCTCTACTTTTTGCACATTTTTTTGTAAAAAATCAAAAAATCATCTTAAACATACTAGTTTTTTTTTTTAATTCATATTTTAGCCAAAAAATCAAAAAGTTACTGAGAAAGTTTGTTTCCAAACGAGGTCTGAAGGGCTTATTCGTGTGTTAATATGATTCAATAAAAATTTCATAAGAAATTAAGACTTACTGAAAATTTTATATAGAATTTACATGTTATCTTCCAAAGGTGATAAGGATTGAATTGTTATCTATAAGTTACTTATTTGACATCGTTATTCAAAAGCAAAAAACAGAAGAAAAAAAAGGAACGAACTTCTTAGCATAAAGGTTTCAAGTAGTATCTAAAAAGGAACACTTACTTTACATAATGGTATAAACGAAAGTATCTAAACTATTTTTTCACCAAGCTAAGGTGTCATACAACAAGGGCATGTACTGGTCCAATTTTATTGTTGTCTCTCCAAATGTAAACTATACATGCGCACGCGCATGCGCACATATATATAGGATAAATTGAGATTATGAGATGATTTATTTAACGAACACTTGTGTTAGTTTTTAAGTCTAAATAGGAGGATTCCATTCCCTATACTCAATATATGTAGAGAGAGAGAGGGGCTAAACCATGAAAAATATATGTTTCTAAATTTTTTTTTGAAAAATGTTTGGGGGCCCTAATTCTGTGGCTCAAATGTGGCTCAAATGGCCAAAACGACGTCGTTTTGGCCATTTTGATTTTGTTTTGTACTCAAAACGACGTCGTTTTGGCCATTTGAGCCACATTTGAGCCACAGAATTTGGGCCCTCTACCATTGCTCTTTTTTTTTATAAGTCTAAACGGCATTATGGACTTATGAAATGTGAATTATGCCTAAACACCTTTGCCTATGAGTTTTAGGATTCGTTTGGCAACATAGTTTTTTGGCTAAAAAATTTAAAAGCCAAAAAACAATTTAAAAGGTTAAAGAATTATTAAAAAAATAAATCATATATACCAGTTGTTCATATTTTTCGACACAATTAAAAAAAGTTATTTACGAATATATTAATGTTTTTCACCTCTTGAAAAAAATAAAAAAAAGTTAATTCTCAAAAGAGATCGTAGCCGAGAAAGACACGTTAATAAAATATAAAAGGCTTGTGGCCTCTATTGTGTGAAATTGTGTTAAGTGATTTATGCTTGAACTACACATGTACTTACCAAAAGCAAAAAAAATTACACACATTAATGAGAGAGAGATGTATATACCTTTGTCTTTGTCTCGAACCAAGAGGGACAATGTGTATGTATGTATAGGATAAGTGTTATAGATAGTTGAGAGGCAACTAGTATTATATAGGCAAAGCTAGCAGCGTGTGAGATCAAGTTGACTAGAGCCAATGATGGATCTAGGAGGTAAGGGGCGGTCGGATTCTAAAAAATTTTAAAAATATTATATATTATATTAAAAATTTTAAAATAATTTAAAATTATAAAAATTCACATTTTAAAATTTTTTTATAGATAATTTTAAAATTATATAGAGTAACTCCTTAATTTTTTAAATTATAAAATAACGCCCCAAAAACATTCTACCTTCCCACCTTTTCTTTTTCTTCTCTAGTGCACGCTTTAGATTGGATAAGACCCCCACCCCCACAAAATAAATAAATAAATAAATAAAAATGAAAAAGCTGCATGAACATTGAGAGCGAGAGAGGGGGATAAAAAAAAAATGGATGGTCGGCACAGAACCTCTACTCAACAAATAAATAAATTGAAAATTATATGTAACCCACGTTTCGTGTTGTGTTATTTCATATTTGTGTTAGATTTTTCTCAACATTAAAAGTAAGTTTGGGATCATTTAAAAAAAGTAACATTTTTTAAAAAAAAATTTGTGTGTGTAATTTTTTTACTTTTCAAGTCTATCTAGTATAGAAGAAAAAAAAGAGAGCTAATTTTGACTCCTTTTTTTAGTAGAATTTTTCCATTTTTTTAATAAACTTTTCTGATCCCTCTAATTGAGCAGAATCTAAAAGTGAAAAGTTTTCTAAAAGATTAAAAAAAAAATGGTAAAAACGACAAAAAAAAAAAAAAAAAAACCCTAAAAAAGCTAATCTCAGATGATACACTAACCCAATTCGTCTATTTTTTTAGGGTCTAATTATGTGGTGCCATTTTGAGGTTGTTAATGTGTCATGTTAAAAAGTTTCTCTTTGATGTGTATGACAACTTTTGAAGGTTTTTTTTTCCTCACAAATTAAATTTCATGAACTAATATCAAATTATTTATAATTTTTTTTTTAATTTTAACTTAATTCCATTTCTTTATTTTCAAAATTGTAGACAATATTTATTTTTTATTTATTAAATTGACTCAAAAAATAAATAAAATGAACAAAAAGATTATATTGACTTTAAAATTTTATTTTACAATTTTTTTTATTCAACTAACTGAAGTTACATAAAGAATTTAAACATATTACGGTATCCCTTAGTATAAATAATATTAAGAATTAAAAACTAATCTTTCATCAAATAGATTATTTTTATCAACTTTATATTAGGTGAATTTGATATTAATCTGACATATTTATTTATCATATTATCGTGTCGCATTTTCATTGAGTTTGTGTCAACAAAAATAACTAATTTAAACTTTCTAATTTCATGTACAATTATGCGGTGTCAAAATTTTCACGCTTCATTTTTAGCCTTTGTGGACCGCCCACGATAAAAGTTGGCTTTCCTACTCCAACATGGAGGGTGGAGGATACAAATCATGACAAATTTGTGCAGTTATTTTAATTTTCAAGAGGTTGCAAAATGAATTGAAATGGAAGATGTTAACATTTTGTTGTCATGGATATGATTATGATTATAGAAACAGAGGTTCTAATTTGAGCAACTTTTAATTTGACGGTGATGATAAGTCCAAGTTCATTTTCCATTGCAACATGTGTCTTGTCTATTGTGGGGTGTTTTGAGAAGATAGTTAAAAATTATTTTTTAATTTTTTAAATTTTTTTTTGTGAGAGATGGAAGTGGGTTAAAAGCCGAAAAGTGACTTTTAATCCACTTCTCAAAATAAGCCCGTGTCTTTCATTATTTTTAGGATAAATTACAAATACGAATCGCTTCCCGTGATTTTGTAAATTGCATAGGTTTATGATTTCGTAACAAATCGTCCATTTTATTAATAAATAATTAAGTCAATTAACAGTTTTTAATGATGTTAAAAATATGTTAGAATTAATAATTTCGATAATTTTATTATTGTATAGGAGAACAATTATGCATTTTATTTTTTTAATTAATTCTATTAAATAAAAAATACTAACAAGAAGGTATTTATAATTTTTCAAACTATAAGAACAATCTATAATTTAAATAAATCTCAAGAGATATATTCATAATTTATTTATATTTTTAATGGTTCCAAATTCTTAATTGCCCTACTGTTTATGGATCCACTACTATTTCATTAGATAAAACTCTAGCAGCAGTATAGAATTTAGGTGTAATAATGTCAAATTCTTAATTGCCCTACTGTTTATGGACCCACTGGAAAGTATTTCATTAGATAAAACTCTGGCAGCAGTATAGAATTTAGGTGTAATAATGTCAACATAATTTCGTTAAAAAATTATCCACTCCACTCGCGAGGGTTAGTTCAAGTAATAAGTCGGCGAGATTCTATTGGGAAAACGTAAAATTCGACGCCTAATATCTTATTCTGAGTAGTACATATTCTGAGTTGGAGTTCTTGAAACGAATCCAGATCCTCTGCAGGGTTTTCCTACAGCGTATCTTGCAGTGCAAGGCAAACGACGTCGTTTTGTCATTATTATTATTATTTTTTTTTTTTTTTTTCCTTCTTTTTTTCCAGCGTCTACTCTTTCTTCTCCACTTCTCTTCCAAAAGTCCCAAATTGAAAACCAGAGGACTGGAAAACGAATGTGGGAAGACGAACAGAGGACTGATGAACGGCGATGGACCGACGACCGGGGAAGATGAACGCGGAGTCCTACCAAAGGCCCAAATGTTTCAGATTCTATATATATGTATATATATCATATATGTATCAAGTTATATATATATATATGTGTGTGTGTGGTATAGGTTCTATATGTATGTCTCTTCTTCTTCTTCTATATATACACACACATATAATTGTATAATATGTACTGCCATAGTTTCGTAATTGCAATTTTGTAAAAAAATAGGACTTTTCTTTCATGGTCTCTCTCTCTCTCTCCCTCTCTCTCTCTATATATATATATAGAATACAAAATTCAATGAATGTGTATATCAAGCCCCAAAAAAATTGGTAAGCCACTAGTAAGGTGGTGGTGCCCTGTTTGGGTGTTAAAGATCAAAATCTTTCCATTAAATTTCACCATACCTTGTATTTTCATGAAACCCAGATTTTTTTTGAGAGGAAACCCCAGACCAAAAGCTCTAAGATTGAGGCAATACTTAGAAAATCATCCATTCGTGTTCTAGTCCTCTGGTTTTCATTTTTGGACTTTTGGAGATTAGGTCTGTGAAAAGAGAAGAAGCAAAGGAGAAGAAACTGAGAAAAAAAAGAAAGAAGGCAAAACGACATCGTTTGCATTGCACTGCAGGATGCGTTGTAGGAAAACCCCTCAGAGGATCTGGATTCGACTGAAATGAATCCGGATCCTCTGCAGGGTTTTCCTGCAGCGCATCCTGTAGTGCAAGGCAAACGACGTCGTTTTGCCACTTTTTTTTTTTTTCCTTCTTCCTTTCCAGCGTCTACTCTTTCTTCTCCACTTCTCTTCTCGGAGACCAAACCCCCAAAAGTCCCAAATTGAAAACCAGAGGACTGGAAAATGAATGTGGGAAGACGAACAGATGGCCGATGAACGGCGGTGGACCGACGACCGGGGAAGATGAACGCGGAGTCCTACCAAAGGCCCAAATGTTTCAGATTCTATATATATGTATATATATCATATACGTATCAAGTTATATATGTGTGTGTTATAGGTTCTATATGTATGTCTCTTCTTCTTCTTCTTCTATATATACACACATATAATTGTATAATATGTACTGCCATAGTTTCGTAATTGCAGTTTTGTAAAAAAATAGGACTTTTCTTTCATGTTCTCTCTCTCTCTCTCTCTCTATATATATATATAGAATACAAAATTCAATGAATGTGTATATCAAGCCCCAAAAAAATTGGTAAGCCACTAGTAAGGTGGTGGTGCCCTGTTTGGGTGTTAAAGATCAAAATCTTTCCATTAAATTTCACCATACCTTGTATTTTCATGAAGCCCAGATTTTTTTTGAGAGGAAACCCCAGACCAAAAGCTCTAAGATTGAGGCAATACTTAGAAAATCATCCATTCGTGTTCTAGTCCTCTGGTTTTCATTTTTGGACTTTTGAAGATTAGGTCTGTGAAAAGAGAAGAAGTAGAGGAGAAAAAACTGAGAAAAAAAGAAAAGAAGGCAAAACGACATCGTTTGCATTGCACTGCAGGATGCGTTGTAGGAAAACCCCTCAGAGGATTTGGATTCGACTGAAATGAATCCGGATCCTCTGCAGGGTTTTCCTGCAGCGCATCCTGTAGTGCAAGGCAAACGACGTCGTTTTGCCACTTTTTTTTTTTTTTCCTTCTTCCTTTCCAGCGTCTACTCTTTCTTCTCCACTTCTCTTCTCGGAGACCAAACCCCCAAAAGTCCCAAATTGAAAACCAGAGGACTGGAAAATGAATGTGGGAAGACGAACAGATGGCCGATGAACGGCGGTGGACCGACGACCGGGGAAGATGAACGCGGAGTCCTACCAAAGGCCCAAATGTTTCAGATTCTATATATATGTATATATATCATATACGTATCAAGTTATATATATGTGTGTGTGTTATAGGTTCTATATGTATGTCTCTTCTTCTTCTTCTATATATACACACATATAATTGTATAATATGTACTGCCATAGTTTCGTAATTGCAGTTTTGTAAAAAAATAGGACTTTTCTTTCATGTTCTCTCTCTCTCTCTCTCTCTATATATATATAGAATACAAAATTCAATGAATGTGTATATCAAGCCCCAAAAAAATTGGTAAGCCACTAGTAAGGTGGTGGTGCCCTGTTTGGGTGTTAAAGATCAAAATCTTTCCATTAAATTTCACCATACCTTGTATTTTCACGAAGCCCAGATTTTTTTTGAGAGGAAACCCCAGACCAAAAGCTCGAAGATTGAGGCAATACTTAGAAAATCATCCATTCGTGTTCTAGTCCTCTGGTTGTCATTTTTGGACTTTTGGAGATTAGGTCTGTGAAAAGAGAAGAAGTAGAGGAGAAGAAACAGAGAAAACAAAAAAAGGCAAAACGACAT